AGAGTGCTTCATCTAAACGCAAGTATTTTATGAATATAGAAAATAAAACCCTAGGTAATAAAAGCCCAGAATTATCAATACTTCGGCTTTTTAAATCGCGTGTGAAGGCAAATTCTCTAGGCGCGACCAAATTCTTCATAGTTAACGGAAGAATTATTGATGACCCCGATATTATTTGCAAACAATTCAGTCAGCATTTCTCGCAGTGCTATAACACTAGAACTGAAAGTTGTATCAATACATTTCCAATGCTGACACGCAGACACCTGTCGAAAATTGATTTCGTACCCTCCAACATCAAGCAGGCCATAACTGCCTTGAAAAAAGTCCTATGACGGTGGACCTGACGGGATTCCCTCATCATTTGTGAAATATGGTAGTAGAGAATTCCCATTATTTTGTTTAAAACTTTTCAACCTATCTATGGAATATGGGGCCTATCCACCTGTATGGAAAACATCTCTTATCACCCCCAGATTCAAAACCAGATCACGCAGTGATATTGCTAACTACAGACCAATTAATTTGACATCCGTGCTGTCAAGATCTATGGAGAAAATAGTCCACAAGCTATTATCATTTTTGCTTTCGGCTAATCTGATTAGCCCATCCCAATACGGGTTTACGACCAAACGCTCATGCTTCACATCGCACCTGGAATTCTTTGATCAAATTACCCAGAGAAGAGATGTTGGTCAATCAATGATGATTCTGTACTTCGACTTTAGTAAGGCCTTCGACAGCGTCCCACACAAACTTCTTTTTATAAAACTCTCTTCATATGGAATACAGAATCCCCTTTTATCTTGGCTCAAGTCATTTTTAGAAGAACGTAGCCAAATTGTCCGCTTTGGATCTTGCTACTCCAAACCTGTGAATGTAACCAGTGGGGTTATACAAGGAAGTTTAATTGGTCCATTACTATTTCTCCTTTTTATCAATGACGTTTGCTCCCTCTTTCAGTATGGTAAACCTTTTCTTTTTGCCGATGATCTAAAAGTGATCTATTCATTCTCATCTCCCACCAATGAAAGCTATATTTCAACGGTAATCCAAGAGGAAATAAACAAGTTGTACGAATGGACTATTTCGTGGAATTCGCCGCTTAATGTTGACAAAAGTGGATTTATCAACATCGGCCGCTGCCTTAACCTAAATCTGGCTATACACAAACATACACTGAAACCTCTCAACACTGTTCGTGACTTGGGTTAAAGATATAGCGACAGTTTAAACTTTTCGGAACACATTGCATCTCAAGTATCCAATGCTAGAAAGCTCATCGGATTCATAATGATTAATTTCAATAATATGAAATCGAGATTATTATTATACAGAAAATGTATCTTGCATATGGTATTTTAGTTTATAGTAATTGCAGGCATAATGACCTGATTAAAATTAAAGGTGTTCAAAGAAGATTCACCAAAGCTGTTTTGGGGTATTCTGACAACAAAGACTATCACCAAAGATGTCAACAACTCAAACTAGAACCTCTCTGGATCAGGCGTATCAAACTAAACCTTATTTTTCTCTACCGGCTTCTTAACGGTATTTCTTACTCTTCGCTATCTACCCCATCATACTCTATGATACCGTCTCACAATCTACGCAATAAGGAAAATATTATAGCGATTCCAAAAACCCAAACAAATTTACGCCAGAATTTCTTCGTTATTCGCTACTCAACCATCTGGAATAGACTACCAATGAACCTCCGATGCAGTGAAACTATAATCCGGTTCCGAAGTCTTCTTGATGACTTTCTTTCCGAAAGTGGATTGTGTCACCTTTTGAATATTAACGTGCTTAACAACGATTTATACAAAAATGGTCCGTCATCTATCTAACTGACTGAAAAGCAAAGTAAAACCTTTGAAACTTTTCACGTCTATTTCACTTTATTTTATATTTATCTGAATATAAAAAGTCTGCTTATGTTCGTATTTATAATTATTACTGTTATTAATATCATTATTGGTCTTTTGACACATTAGATATTCATTTCATCTCTTCTTGTCCTTCTAAACATATTTTATCCAAAGTCTACAATTAAAAACAAAAAACCCCTATGTTCCACTTAAATAATTTTTTTTCAAAATATTCACAACATATAACATATAAAAATTTATATTTAATTATTCTTTGCAATTAATTATGACTATGATAGCATCATTCTAAATTATTATTATTGCACTAATGTTTATACTACAACCCGGTTTCACTCTGTATACTGTTACATAATTCTACACGTATTTATCCGAGTGCAGTAAAGGTTTATTATTATTCTTACTATTATTGTTATTATTATCATTATTTTAAAATTATTCGTTTATCTCAAAAGTCTATATCCATTACACTATTATGATCATGGTTGAACCCTTTCACTATGTGTTCATTTCTTTACTCTCTCCTTTTTTTTCCTTCTAAATAAATATTATTCTTAAGATTACGAAGCTTTGGATTAAGACAATAACTTGTGTTACGCTGAATTAAAACTTATCAGTCTCTTTTTATCTTCACTATGTATACACACCTCATACACATTGATTATCTTTTGCACTTAATTGAAACTTTCAGAGCATCACCCAAAACTATGACTGTGCTTGCACAAACACTTATTCTAACGTCATATCTTACCGCAATAATAAGTTATTTACTTATTAATTTATTCTGTTTTATTTCATTTTTATTACTCGTTTTTGCTATACATACATAGTTTATTCTTGTTCTGCGTTAAGATATTTACGTCTCCCGCGTCTCCTTTATTTCCATTTCCTTAGTTTCTTCCTTTCCTCCTTCAAAATCAATTCAAAATTCTTGCTAATTACACAGAACCTCATTTATTATTACTATTCTATTATTAATATTTTATTTTCCCTTTCCTTCCTTTCTCAAACATGGCATATGTATTGTTAACATTACTGAAAATTGTGTATTATTACATTTTTGAAGAAACCCGAAATGGTTTCTTCACAGCACTTATGTACCCATAAGGTGTTTCTGAATAATAATAATAATATCACTAATACGTAATCAACCTTTCATATGGCATTATGGATTTATTGGTTGGATTATTGCTGTGACATAGGGCATTCGTTTGTTTATTATGGGCGATTCGGCTGTTTCTATGCTGCATTTGTAATGCAGAAGAGCAACTGTTTTTCTTTTTGTAGAACACTGTGAATGAAAGTTCAAAATCAACCTGATGTGCTCGACCAAAACGCGTTGGCGATTGTTAAGAATTGGAAGGAGTTATGTATTGATGGATAATTTGTACTTTTAAAAGTTTGATATACATTTTTATTTATAACGCACCAGTGTTTTAATTACTGCAATGCTTATCTATCGTGACAGACCAGTTCTCGCTACTAGCTATGGTTTAATTGCTTTGGCACTGCGTTCACTTTGCGGAAAAAATTGAATAGATGCGTAGTAACTTTCGGGTACATGTTATTAAGTCGCCAGGCTTTTCTGTACGATCGGCGATCTTTGGTGGATAAGTTGAAATCGTGCAGAATGTACCCAAAATTCCAAAAAATATTGAAGGTTGATCCACAGAACGTTGATGGCTTTCCCCAAATGTTGGCGAAAAACCCGCAATTTTGTTAACATTATCGATGAATATAGACGGATCTCCCTAAAGTGTTATAAGCTTTTAAGAAAAAACTGAGGTTTTTGGGCCATTTCCTTCAAATTTTCTATAGCAGCCTCTCCGAATAGCAGTCCATGAAGTCACTGACAAGTGGACTGAGCCATATTGGTAGGTGTAGACTACCTGGTTGGGATTCGCGAGATGATAGCAACTGATGGTTAGAGACCTTGAATGACATGGCTCAAAATCGTTTGCAATGGCGCAGGTACATCCACTCTGTGTTCTATCAAATTCTAATCCTCTGAATTCCTCATGTCCCTATCCTTTTTCTCTTTTCAAATTTATTTCACTGTATTATACTCCTTCAATAACATCTTCAAACCCTAATCTTTCACGTAATGCTTATACTCTTACTACTTCTACCACTATGGGATTTGAATCGACAACTGCATAACAACACAAATGACATGAAATGAAATGACTTCATCTCTGTGCTAATGTGGTATGGCAGCTCGAACTGATGTACGTACGTACGAAGTTCTACGCTGTGACCTACTGACTGTCAAGAGAAATTCAACTGTTATTGCTCAGATATTAGTTAAAATAAGAATAACGTACAGATATATCACGTTTCACTATGATGACTTTCATGTTATAACATGGCGCCTACTTTCATTTATTGGTGTGACTGATGGTTAGTGTATTAAAACGTTTTAAAATTCGCTCAATCACATCCCGAACTGTTAATAATTGTTCATTTATAGAAAATAAGGTCACGACTCGTGACTTCCTACATATTCATCGTACGCCTAATCATGGAAGAAATACGATATCGTTTGAATAGGATTTCCACCCTTATATTCACTCATAATTACCTTTAAAACAAACAGGATATAAATTTTCATTCATCGATGTTAACTAGAATGTTGTAGGTGCTCATATGCACTGGGAAGCTCATAAGTAAACAGAGTCAAGACAATCACGAACAGTAAATTAATTCGAGAAGAGAATGCCAACGTGTAGGATACTCAAAAACATACATATGCGATTACGCGGATTAAGAGAATCAGTCGTCATAGATCAAAGAAACTATTCACTACAAAAAAGTGCGAAAGGCTACAATACACCTGTTTCAAAATTAATTACTCTTGCTTAATAAACCAAAAGTTTAACTAGGTAAAGAACATCATGTTATTTTACTGCGAAATTCAGAGAAAATTGCCCATACATTTGACAGGACAAATTGGTTTGTATTGTCCACATAAGACCACTGATCCTGATGTAATAAAACATTTAGGAAAAGCCTCTGAGAAAGCTTCAGAAAAGTCACCATGCCTTTACTCCTTTACTCCTGAACCTATTTATGCGAAATAACATTAATCAGATAGTGGACAGCTTAGTTCAGTTAAAAAACCAATAGAAGATGTAATTTAAGACAATGGTACCTTGGATGCTGACAGTTAATATGATAGACGTAATCCAAAGCTACAGACCCATCCAAATCGTTTAAATCAATAGAATTCAGTGTATTGGAACTTGATTTATCAGAGACTGTCCCCTCAGCCTTCACCGCTATGTGGATCGGTGACGGAGGCTCGAATACATCATCCTCACCATTAGTTGACTGAATGTGTTTATCGTAAGAAACATTCTGGGTCGATTCAAGTTGTTCTGTTCGAGGTATTTCTGTCATCTTGGGGATTCAAAAATTTTAGAAATTAGAATTGTAATCTACATTTACATAGTATCGTTTACTTACTGGACATTTTCAACAAGAAAAGTGTCTAACATTAATGCATAAATTTCATGCAATTTATAAAAAAATTCTATTCAGATTACGGAGAGTGCCTGAGACGAAATCGTCGAACCGAGCAACATATTACCAATTCACCAGTATGAACTGCTAAGGAGAACTCAGACTGCTTAATTTTTTGTAATTACATGTTATTTCTTTTTCTTAGAGAATAATCTCGATAGCACTTTTCTAAACTATATTTCAGTAATTACCTATACTGTTATTTGATCAGTTGTTTTTAATTACAGTTTGACAGTTGTGTTATGCATACCAACGTCACTGGGTCTTACTTTGTAAACGGAGTTGTCGAAGTTTTGGTCATCTGTTCGAAAGATAAAGTTGTTCTAAGAAGACCCTTCACCAATTGGCGTGTGGATTATTAACGTCGAAGTGTTTTTCTTAAACGTCCGGTCTGTCAAGTTCCCATTAGTCTTTTTAGTATTAAAAGATTCTCAAATTATCGTAGGCCCAGCCGAAAACCAATCGCGATTACATTAAAAAACTTAAAATAAACAAACAACCCACAATTGATAAATACTGATGAAAACAAGTTCAAAATCTACTTCCAGGTTTTAAAGTTCGTTTATTGACGAAGTAGACACCTCTCTTTCTCTCTTTATATATATACATAACTATCTTATCAACCTTCATAAAATATATATTTACAAATATTTATAACTTCGTAGATGATTGATTGGTTTATTAATCCTTGTAATGATAAACCAACTCAGCCTAGAGTCTGTCGAGGGTTGGTAATCCCAATCCGTAAAAAAGAACTTTTCTAAAGCAAACGCCAGCCAGAAAAACCCATTTTAATTATTTAAATTCTGCTCAAGTAGTTCAAGGGTTTTCATTTAGAAGAGTTATAATGCCTTATGACAAAAGCCAAGATCCTTCGGAAGTCAGGAGGCCGATGCCCCTTCTAAAAATCAGAGCAACAATTAGCATAGGTATATGGAAAGTCCTCACAATGCAGGAGACTAGCAGGACCAGTCAAATTGTTGGGGAGATGAGATATAACCTGGCGGAACCTGATATAAGCGAAACCCATTAAAGTAATCAGAGGTTGCGAAGCTGATGGTTGTTGCTCCTTATAAGCATATGCAAATAAATTCTGCAGTACTATCCAACTAACGTAGACTATGCAGTAACGACAATCATAATGATAGTCACTGGACAAACTTTAAAGTGGCATTTCTTACTTCTCTTGAGGCTTAAGATATATAAAGTGTGAATCGTAACCTAGATACCATCATCTCAGACGACACATTCACATATATTCGTCCTGAGCCCAAAAATTCATCTGCTACAAGAAGTGGAGTAGCTTGTGCCTCCATAGTGCGTATGCATTTTCATACAGGCACTAGTAAAAACCTATTTAATGAGTGTTACAGAAAGTCTCACGGAGTTTGTGTCAAGAGCTATAATTGTTCGATTTCAGAAATGCTAAACCAAACTGAATCCCCTAAAAATGCCATCAAGAATATTAATCCTCGTGACTTATACTAAGCATCGGTCTGCAACTGCATTAGCTTACACGTGACTACGTCACATCTACTCGCTGCACTAGCAGAGATTTTGATCAACATTTTGGAGGGCCACACTGACAGAGAACTGAGTTAATTATCGACATCTCAGTTAGTGAGTCCAATAACATAAACACAACCATGTAATATCTAGCCTTCACGATGGTAAATTAAACTACATAAGAACTGCCTTTTTAATTGACATTATAAGTCGATGGTTATTAGTGTAACGTTACGAGTATTAGAGGATTGTAACGTACCAATACATTTCAGCTCTGCTAACAGTAACTACAAACTTGCTTTAGTTGCAAACCTGCCTGATGATTTTAGATACTCTCTCAGGCTATCCTATTTGATAAGTGCCACCAACTGCTTTTAGAGGAATATCGTCTAAATGCCGGATTTGTGTCAAATGTCTACATTTACAAAACTACTTGGCTCACCACTGGAACGCCTTTTTTGATTTCTATATTTCTATGTATCTAGTTCTATATTTAAGTGCAACGTGGATGTTTCAGTCGTGTAAAACATCTCTTCAATCTACAAGCGTCCAAAACCATACACTTATTCGCTTGTTAATTTAGTCATAGTACCAGTGGCAGCTTTAAACCAGTGCGTTGCACTCTCGGCTTGAATTGGCTTTCCTGTGCGCGGTAATTGTGGAAGTTTGGCCAGATAGCGAGTTTACTATCTCCTAATCTCGATATGATATAATGCTTTTTTATTGCTGATTGTTGTTGATTGCTTTCGTTATTCAATGTAAGACATTATGTACTTTTGCTGGGTCGTCGACTCACCTTTACTTTTGTTCTTCTCTTTTCCAGACCTAGTCATTCACGCTACCCTACATGTTGTTTTAGTTCACATAGTATCTTTTGGCTACACTAATTGCCACGGGCTAAGACGGATCTCAGTGCTGATGTTTACCCTGGTATTTAATAATTATTCACACAGTGCGTGTCCCAAGTTTCAAATAATTTTATGTCTTGTGTGTTTGTTAAGATTTTGTGATTTTACTCAGACCAAGTAAGGGGTGTTCTTGTTTTTCACATGTATAAAGTATCCTTTGTAATTAAAGGTGACTAACAGTAGTCAAAGGTTATCATTAACTATCCGTCTTCAGAGTCGTACACTGAACAGATGTGTAGAGGGAACCGGATAGAGTCGTTTTTGAAACGGTCAGTCAGAATTGGCTGCGCTGTGTCGATGCAATTGATAAGAAGTTTTCATACGAAATGAAGTTATTGTAATAAAGATATCAATTGCTAATATTGAAAGTTAAAGATTACGCAGTATACTTAAGAAATCACTCCAGGATTGGTTGTTACTTTTTCTATTTTCTCAGTGGATAGACAAAACGGACAAATTTGTAAGCAGTATTAGAACTAATGTTATCGTCAACAGGTGGTAATTGCCCTAATCACTATGTGTAGTCAAATGTCACAGTTAGGATTTGGTGTAGACAACTTTTTCTTAATAAATGTGGCTTGAAAGCTATGTTATCTATTTCATTCGTACACGAGACAAGCTCTGGAATTGGACAATTGTGTTGTAAAGATCTCAAGTAAGAATTCCCTTCTCGGTCCTTGTTTTCTGTAGTCCTCATCACTATTTCAGTGTTCTGATTGATTTCAGTCTTAAGATAACCCTTGAGACCGTTGCGTTGTTTGATTTCCAGGACCATGTTCAGGGTGCTGTGATGCGTTAGTGAATAATAATCTGACGCGACTTTACATTTTGTTCGTTAACACAAAAGACGAGTTTTTGCTAATTCAATACTTATACTTACGTGTTATCAAACCTTGGTTTTGATGTTTATAAAAAATCCTGGTTATGTTGTGTTAGTGATTTTGATAAGGCATCAATATTTAAGATGTGTGTTACCGGATATACCGAAAAAATGCGGAATAGACTTTAAAATCTTAAATATGGGTCGAAAATGCCAGGTAAATCTTTTGTAGTAGTTAGCGTAAAGCTGGCTATAATAGGGAACAAGGAACTCCGTAAGTATCAAAACGATCGTATTTCTAAGCATCTATCGCTATCTATTCGTTTATATTGTGACGTCATTGTCCCTTCCCTACTGCTATTTTTCGGTAGCAAAACCTGTGTGATATTTTTTCACTTTCATCGTTTGTACGGGAAAACGTGAAAATTCTTCAGTAATACTATTCTATTATGACAAACAAGCATTGGATTCGTACTAAAAAAAAATACAAAAACAGTCCACCTATTCCTATAACATTTTCGTCCATAAAACTAATCCTCGAATATCTTATTTCTAACTAGTTTTATGAGGATCCAATAACAATATATTGTGATGTTTACAGGATACCTAATCTGTTCTTATGCCTCAGAATTCCTTGATTTTACGCAGGATTGCTGTAAATGTCAACAGCCATCAACTCTTCTGTCTCAACTCCTAATGGTGCTAAAAACATAGTCCCAGACTCATCGTCTGCTGCAGTAAGACTTCCGTCATCCAGTTCCGTTCGCCAAATAGCTGACGCTACATCGAATCAGAAAGATTCAACTAAAGTACCCTTATGTCTGATAAAACTAGTCCGATCCATTGTTAGGACTTTCTATTCAAGAGAACATTCTCTCATCGTTGATATGCTGGTAAGAGCTGATATAAGGTTATGTTGTTACTTTTAAATGATCGTATTTTAATATTTTCACGATAAATTTTAGTCTTCATATCCATCTACTATCATATAATTTAATCTAAATATTGATTAATATCAGCTACGAAATAGAAAAGTACCTGTCAGAAATGTAAATACCAGCTTGACCCTGCAAACAAGTCAAGGTATTTCAGCTGAATCACTTGTTATTTGAAGTCCTATTATCCCTAGGGAGTTGATTAAATGGTATAGAAATTGGAGATAACCTCGAGTCCATGGAGTCATGCTTCTAACTGTATCCAGGTGCACCAACAATCATTTTTATCTACAGAACACCTGTGACGACAATACTTTTCCACTTTCAGAAGAGGGAACTGAGAAGACGGCTTCAGAAATATCATTCAACCTTACCTAGTTCTGGAGATAAGGAGTAAGAATTGTTAAGGCTGCATTAAAATACTTCCCCAGAAATCCCCTTGTGACCAAGCTCAAGCAGTTGTCTTTTGGGGTCTAATACCACATTCCCGATCCAATAAAATTATTAATGTTCAGTCCCTTTGTCAGATTTAACACAAGGAGATGTCCATCCACCATCTGAGCGTCCGTAAAGTTCCGATCACCAGCATACTACGAGCACCATTCTATTCATTGTTAATTTATTTCGTTTTGCAAATTTTCTGTTTCTGTTACCAATCTCTCATCTTTTCCTGCATGTGCAACCAATGACAATGGTTTGAGGTTACAAAATTTTATCTCCTTTCCCCCGAAATGTTGCTCAAAATCTCATGTTTGAACTCTACGTCAAGTCACATAGCAGGGGTTGCCAGTCAGAAATCTGCAATTATGTGCCACAAGTATATGTTGTATCTCTGAACACTTCATATTAGACTCGAGTGAGACTATTCGCTTGACCATCTGCTTGTTGCTAGTTGAGTGTAAATACGTCATGAAGTTGAAAAATAGGAACAACACTTCTAAACTAGATGTCAGTTGACGGTCGCTTGTTTAACGAGTTACACAGTTACCCGCTTATGGTTTCTTTACACTCCCCAACGCAATAAAAAGTGGATCGTACCGAAGGCTTTCCAACTTCCGAATAACTCCTGGCAAACATTTTGTTCTTAACGGTTTTCATATATATTTGTGACGCAACTGAGTATCAGTTCGGTTATCGGGGCATTCGTAACTAGATCAAATAAAGGTATCGGATTCAGTATTGTCGAGAAACTTTTGAAATTATACCGCCCCTCAGAAGAACTATCCTAATGGTATCACCATTACAGTAAATAATGCTGAAATTGCCTACTAAGTCGTTTTACTACTTTGACGTATCTCTATAGGCTATCTGGTTCCATTCAGTAATCAAGCACGTAATTTGGTGAACACCAACTTTACTTCAACCATTAATTTCACGAAAGAGTTTATTCCTTTACTAACTGAAAATGTCAGGAGCAGTTCATACTCTTAAGACTAGTCAATATTTCTGCTACTCTCATTCTCCATTTGTGTTCAAAAAGCCCAGTAATGATCTGTACGGAAAACTTGTCGGCCCTTATGGTGGGAATTGTAAGGTATGGTTTTACTGAAATCAATTCCAAATCAAAGATTGTAGTTCAGTAACGCGACTGTCTTTTTTGCTGAAATGCGTTTAATATGCCCGACCGTAGTTGCTGTCGTGGCGTGGTGATCAAACTTGCGTATTATAACGACTCAACTGAGCTATATTGGCTGGAATACATGTCCCTTTAGGTCCTACCATGCCAGTTTGGTTGGTTGGAGGACGTCAAGACTAGAAGCAGTAGCTCAAGGTCCGAGGGCGAAGTCGTACTGCTGACCGTAGAGAGGCGCGACAAGAGTAAGGTATCTCCCTCGGACAACCAGCATCTGCGGCGCGGCAGTGCTGGCTTCTCATGACAGAAGGAAAGGGTTAGAAAAGGTCGACCCTAAAAATGCCACACGTCACCCCACGGGTTCCCGTCTCCGGAGGTAAGGCCTTTTGAAGTGCGGAGCTGTCGCATCAAAAACCTTCCGTAAAAAGACCATGCACGACCGGCTTCAAGCAGTTGTCCCTTTTGGTTTGCGGTCACGCTCCCAGGTCGCTTAGACAATCCCTAACTCAGTTTCCTTTTCAGGTCCCTTAATAAGAACTATCCTTCCACAATGTGAGCAACCAGGAAGTGACAACCGCCCTCATACCTCTATCAACTCTTGAGATCATCCTTGTGGGCAATCGAATCCCTCCTTCACCTCACAATAATTCTTCGATCTCTACAACTAACCCTTATTTATCTTTATCACTACGTGCCACCAATGCTAATGATTTGAGTTCACGCAATCGTATTACTGGTTTCCTGAAACTGCACTCCAAACTACATGTTGGAGCTTTTAATGTTCAAACCTTGTGTCGGATTGGAGAACAGACTTCTTCAGTTACTCTTTGAGCATCTGGAGACCCCACTGCTACTTCCGGGGCTTCGTTGGTGCAGGTATAGCATTAAGTTTTAAAGTAGGACAGGATTCGCTAGACCGGATTTCAATAGATAGTCGGGACAGTAAGCACTCGAGAAGATAGGGACATACACCGTTACTTTTTCGTTTTCTCTACATATCCTCCCACTGATTGCAGCTCGGGTGAAGTTAAAGATGGATTTTGTGGAAAGCTATCCAACCTCCCTCAAAAGCTAGACGTTCTGATTTAGCAATAGTGGCAAGTGATTTTAATGCTCAAGTAAGTAAACTCAACCAAACTGAAAGGCCTTTACGCGGATTTTACGATGTTGTGGCTCACAGAACGGATAATAGTGACTGTCTGTTGCAATAATAGTTCGACGTCGAGCTAGAGCTTGTGATGGGCAAACCGAGAGAAACAGGCTCGTTTCAGACCTGGACATGGATGTACAGACCAAATCTTCACCCTTCGGCAGTTTCCGGAACATAGACATACTTTCCGACGTCCAAATGTAGTTGTTTTTTGACCTTAATTACGTCATCCGATTCCACTGATTTTGGGGTTCTGTGGCAGTGTCTGTCATTGAAAGACGTAACAGTAAAGCACATTAACTTTGTACAGGCTCTCTACTCGAACACTACTGGTTAAGCCAGAACTTATAGCAAACTGTTATCGGCACTGGTTACTTCGAATAGTGTCCGTCAAGGTTGTCTACTTTCTCCATTTTTATTTAACTTTACTATAGATATACTTTTAAAGATAGCACTTCCGTCGTCTGACTTTTGAGGGATTAATCTTCTACCAAGAGATTCACTTGTTAACTTAGAGTACGCAGATGATATAGTTGTATTTTGTGAAGACGCTGACAAAATGCAGTCTTGTGATCACCTTAAGCAATAATCCAAACATGTTTGGGATGCGGTTCTTTCCCTCCAAATGTAAAATGTAACTTCAGGTTTGTCTTGCGTCATCACCTGCATTAATGGTAAAGAGTAAGGTAGTTGAGTGCATCAACCGCTACACTTATCTTGAAAGGCTCGTCGGTACTGACAGTCTGGCATTTGACGAAATCTCGGAAGATTCAGAAGGCCCGATTTGCTTTTGCCAACTTGCGTCACCTGTGACATAGGAAAGCTATCTGTCCGCCAACCGAAGAACAGTTTTACTGCTCAGCAGTTCGCTCCTACCTGCTTTATGGATATGCAACATAGGTATTAAAAGTAGAAGATATTCATAGGTTGATAGTATTCGATCATAGGTTATTTCGAAGCACTACTCGTGTGTTTTGGAATCACCAAGAAATGAATGCCTGAGTTGGGAATAGAGTGTTAGGTAAGGATGGGAAATCGATTGATGAGGTAGTAAGTCTTCACCAACTGAGGTGGTTGGGACTTGTTTACGTGTGTCTAACTACCCCCATACTCCTACGTACGATGTTGTGTAGTCTAGAAGTAGGTTGGAAGGAAATTAGCGGCGGCCAAACCAAAGCATGACATCAGTCCATGAAGTCACAGACAATTAGACTTAGTTATCTTAATACATGTAGACCACCCCTTTGAATTCCTCACAATTATTTTGGGGTTTTTATTTTACTGAATTATATTTTCTTTTCGAGTAGTATCTTTAATGCCTAATCTTTCCTATTACCCTTGATACTGTTACTACCCCTAATGATTTGGGATTTAGCCTGACAACTTCGTCTCTCTGTGCTAATGGGTTATGACAAATTGAACCGATGTACATACGTACAGGTTCTATGTCGTAACTGATTGCAGCTGTTAAAATTTTTTGAGATGAAGCCAGTCAGTCACAACTTGGAACTTCGTACGTACGTATATCAGTTCGAGTTACCATACCAAATTAGCACAGATGCAGTTATCCATTCAAATTCCATAGTGGTAGAGGTAGTAAGAGTATAGGCAGTAATCCGAAAGATTAGAGTTTGAAGATGTTATTCAAGGAGTATATCCCATTGAAAAAGATTTTGACCCATGTCATTTAAGGTCTCTAACCATCGGTTGCTATCGTCTCGCGGATGACAAACAGGTAGTCTACACCTACCAACATGGCTCAGTCCACTTGTCAGTGACTTCATGGACTTGTGCCGCGTTCTTGTCTGGCAGCCCCTAGCTTTCTTACGACCGACTTCTACACCATAAAACATCGCACGTCGGGGCAGTCGGTGGTCGGACATACGTAACACGTATTCCATCCATCTCAACTGATGAAGTTTCACCACTTCATCAATCGATTTGCCATCCTTACCCAGTACCTGTTTTCTAACAACTGCATTACTTACTCGGTGGTCTCAATATATACAAGCAACTATGATCGAATACTAGTAGCCTACGAATATCCTCTACTCTTACCGGCCATGTTTCACTGCCATAAGGTAGGACGGAGTGAACTGCTGCATAGTAAACCCGTCCTTTGGTTGCTAGACGGATATATCGCCTAGGCCATAAACGACGCAAGTTGGCGAAAGCTAGACGAGTCTTTTTTTATCCGTGCTGAGATTTCGTCACATACCAGACCACAAGGGCCGATGAGACTCCCGAGATAACTGAAGCAGTCAACACGCTCAACTACTTCACGCTCACTACTTCAGGTGTCTATGCAACCCAATCCTGAAGTAACATTTTGCACTTCGAGGGAGAGAATCGCATCCCGAACATGCCTGCATTGTTGCTTATAGTGGTCAGAAGACTACATTTTGTCAGCGTCTTCACCGAATAAAACTATGTCGTCGGCGTATTCTAAGTCAACAAGTGAGCCTCCCAGTAAAAGTTCAACTCCAGGAGATTGAGATGATGAAAGTGCTATCTCTAAAAGTATGTCAATGACAAAGTTAAACAAGAATGGGGAGAGTGGAAAGCCCTGACGAACACCACTTGAGGTAACCAATTCTGATGACAGTTCGCCATAGGCTCTAACTCGACCAGTTGTGTTCGAGTAGAGAGCCTTTATGAGGTTAATGTACTTCTTTGGTACTCCTTTCACTGACAAACATTGCCATAGAACCTCACGATCAACGGAGTCAAATGCCGCCTTAAGGTCAAGAAACACTACTATTGTGGGACGTCTGAATGTATGTCTATGTTCTAGGACCTGACGTAGAGTGAATATCTGGTCTATGCAACCACGTCCAGGTCGAAAACCAGCCTGGTTTTCTCTAGTCTGCTCTTCACGAGCTGTGGTTAGGCTCCTGAAATCCAGTGTTTCTCCCTAATCATATGGTTTACCGTACTTGCAGATATCACTTCTATTTCTACGGCTTTTTGGATGTCATTTCACGCTACCTCGGGGTGGACACAACTTACATGGCTGTCTGACTGTTTTTCTAGTTGTTCCTGAAATATATTCTTAGCTTGTCTATCATTAAGTAGAACCCTAAGAGGCTTCCTTGCAGCGTCGTTCCTACGTCCAGTAAGACGTTGACAGATATGCGCTCACACTAGAGCATGATCTGAATCTAAACATGTGCTCCAGAATGAGCGACAGTCTTCTATCGACCCCCTCCATCGGTGGCTGATGTGATCCAGTTGGGTCGAACGTTGGGACGAATTCGGGGGTCGCCATGTCAAAAGATGTTTCTCCTTATGCTTAAAGTTAGTACTTGCAAGAAACAGGCGGTTATCTGAACACAGTTGCAACAGACGGTCGCCATTATCTGTTCTTTTAGCCACGACACCATTAGATCCACCCAGGTGTCTTTCGCTTAGTTTACCTACTTGAGCATTAAAGTCACCAGCCACTATTACTTCATCAGAACGCCTAGCTTCTCGGAGGTCAGAAAGTTTCCTGTAAAACTCATTTTTTACATCATTTGAGCTGCAGCTAGTGGGAGAGTAGGCAGAGACGACGAAGAGGCAACGACGAGTGTCCCTATCTTTCCGGGTCCTTACTGATCCGTTTAGTCGGACAGCGCATAGACGACTGTCCACTGGGATCCAGTCTGAAAGAGCTAGTTCTGCCCTAAGACTTAATGCTATACCTACTCCAGCGAGGTCACGGGAAACAGCGTCAGGGCTTCCAGATACACGAAGCGTGTATCGAGATGGTTCTTTATTTTGATTAGGTGAGGTCAAATGATTGACGCTACTCGGATCCTGTTTGCGCGCTTCGGAGATGCAGCACACATCGATGGTGCGAGATTCTAGAGTCCTAGCTAAGGAAGCCTGTTATCCTATTTGGCACAGTGTTTGGACGTTAAAAGATCCTACATGTAGTTTAGAGCGTGGTTTCAGGAGACCAGGAATAACGTTCCGCGTCCTGGAATCGTTTGCCCTAGTGGTGCGAAGTGATAAAGGGACGTGAAGAGGGTTATTCATGGAGATAATAGAGTTATTAGGTGTAGGAATGATTTGATTGTGACCAACTTGGTCTCGTGTGCTGCAACGAGTATGGTGGCTGATATCACTTCCCGTCTATCCACATCGTGGAAGGGTATTTCTTGAGGGACCTGAAAAGGAAGTTGGATTAATGTTGGTCTTAACAACTTGGGAGCGTGACCGTAGAGCTCAAGGGACAACTGCTTGTGGCCGGTCGCTGGTTTTCCGAGGAGAACACCTTACTAATGTCACACCTCTCTACATTCAGCAGTACGACTTCGCCCTCATACCTTGAGTTGCTGCTTTTAGTCTTACCGTTCTACAATCGATCTGCCTGTTATGGTGGAACCTACTGGAACATATGTTTCAGCCAATATAGCTCGTTTGGCTCGAAAGGCAAGCCCGACCAATACGTCAAGGTAGCAGCTACGGTCGAGATTAAGATGAATCACTAACGTATGACGTTTCGAATAAAATGACGTCCTTATTGTTCACACCTTCCAAGCAAAGCAAAAATAAAGCGTTATAGATAACCTTTTTTACTTCCTCAAGGTATTGGGTAAGTTCGTCATCTTTATTACACTGACTCTTCTGACTCCTTTATTAAATTCCTGTTAAACGTCATTCGCGTTTTCGAAGTGTAGCTCGTGTATTGTTTGGCATTTCTTTCTCTTTCCACAAACTGCACGCCACTGGCATAAATTTGTTTGTTATATGTATCATATTTCTCGCGTTGTTGTTTCAAAAACTCCCAGAATTGTCACGGAACTGACGCTTTATCTGTCCTATACCTCTTTTTTGAAGTTTATCCATTGTGCATCTACACTCTTCTTACAAGCAACTTAAAGTAGTTAACATCAAAAATAGATTAGATTAAAGTCAGCATACTATTTTAAATATCCTTAATACTTGAAGTCAGTAAAATTCCTGTCATTCTGGAACGATCTTAATGTCAGTGAACTGGATGCCCCTAAATGTAGTTTAGAAGTTTGCTTGTTTATTTATCAAGCATGAAAGACTGAAGCCAGTAAGTGTAGTTATTGTTTCTGATCTGTTTATCTGGTCCACTGTTATGTTCGATAGTTTATTGTTATCTCGCTGGAAGAAAAATATATACAACAAAAATTTAAACAGTGCTAATTATGTTACTTTTATCACATAACGATTATCATTTGTGAAAAATTATTTAGCTTTTTCTATGACAGTTTATGTTATTTGCTTCTTCTATTCCTAGGTACGTAATACAATTATGAAAGAAGATGACCTATGTGAAAGACTTCGCTTTGAGAGGAAACAACTAAGACAATATCTGCACACACTAAAGTGTGACCAATTTATTAAATCGAAATTACAGTTGGAAACGGATGTTGATGGGAAAACAACGAAGATAACACACTATTTCATTGACTACAAAGTAAATTTTTGGTAACAATTTAAGTTTAGTTTACAACTGATGTGTTAACACATGTACCCAAACGAACCAGCGATCTTAGAGGTTGGACTATGTTCTTATATATTAGTGTGCTGTACTAAATGCTAGTAAATTCATTTAATTTACAAAGTATTATGGAGCAGTGTAGAACGCGACACGTATGTGCATTGATCTAACTTCCCACTCCACATCAATGCAGCGAGATGAAATTACCGAAATAAAAACAATAGTATAAGTATTAGTACTATCATTTAAACTAACAAATAAATTACCGATACAGAATATAATTGAGAAAGTGACTTCTCAGACTAAGAGTAAATGCATCTGCACTGTTGTGACCGGTTCTAAACTGCGTTACCCAACGTTTCCAACCATTGGTTACGATAATCGAACTAACTCCAACCAGATAGTTTGTACCAACCAACGTGATTCAGACTAAAACCCATTAACTACATGGACTGATGAACCATCTTGGTTTGAGGGATGTTTGCTTTCTTTCAACGTATTCTTTTTCCAGCCCGGATCAGGCACTAAGGTAGGCGGTAATTGTGGATACCTAATATATATCATAGTCGCTTCAATCGACAGATATTCATAACCTAAACTAATTTAACATCTAACCTCGACTTTACTCAGTCGTTCCACGGTACAGTAGCAGTGCTTTGAAGACATTTGTGGTCAAAAACATGCAGCCAACTCATGTCTCCGACTTTTAAAAGAGCATTTTTCATAGGCAGTAGTACAAAACGGATTATTGTGCAGTATACTCGTCCTTTGGTTAATAGACGGGCATCTTGCTTACTCCATTACTGACTTACGTCAATTTTTGTTTACCCCATGTGGTATGTTCCATGATTGACCATAATGGTTTATGTCTGTCTGCATTTTATTGTCCTATCATCTTACTTCTTTTGCTTATCCTTGAGATTGTCTTGACTAATGATAACTGTTGTATTCTTATGCCCTGTTAATTATCACGTGATGAGATCTTCAATCGAACACCGACCTATCTGACCTTAATGCTGTGCCAAACCAATGACGCATAAACCAGTACGATCAGCCTAGAGTTAACTCTGAGTTCTTATCGGTCCTATGAGATGGTAACTTCTCGCCTAAAACTGCCGGTTTAATCCAGAACACAATCTCAGCTTCTAATGTATAAACCACGTATTCCAGACTTATGCAGTTTATATACAAGCAAATCAGACCGCATCAGACCACTAAATAGAAAAAAACAATTATGCAAGGTCAAGCCAAAAGTGGCTCTGATTGTGAGATAAGGTAACTAATAGATTGTGGATAACTTGAGAATGGTAAACAGTATAATAGTAGTCAATAGGGTAAATCAAAGCTTATGATAAACGGAATATAAATATATATAATCCAGTAACCTAATATATATATATATATATAACAGTCCATAAATAGCTCTCAGAAGTTACCCACAATTTAATATTCGTTAGGATATAACAATGTTTTCCGGGATTTATTTTTATTCTTTTGTCCGTGTTGATTGATATGCAATGTATAAACTTGACCAAAAACGTAACCATTCAGAATTCAGCGTTTTTCAGTCTATCATGGTATCATCTCGCTGCTTTTATGAGTAATTAGTAATATGCTACATTTCAAATGAAATGCACCTGTACGAACTCTGCTGGCCTTGTGGATATTTCACAACTAGTCACTACTTACTAGACTATCTATTTACTTTCATTTTTTTACGTCTTCGTCACTCAGTAAAAATTCAGTGTTTCTAGTTCAGTCAATCAGCTACAAGGTAGGACCAGGCATACATATGCATCGATTCGAGTTGCTATACCTCATTAGCACAAGATGAACACCAAATTCATAGAAGCAGTTAATTTAGTGGTGGTAGTACATAAAAGATAGGTTGTATATTATGATATAGTATAGGAAGGAAGAACGTTATGAAGCAAGTTTAATCTCAAGGTTTAGGGGAAGATAAAGAGTGTATACACCTGCGCCATTGTGATCGGTTCTGAGCCATGTCATCCAGAGTCTGCAACCATTAGTTACGATAATCGCGCGGACCCCAACCAAGTAGTCTGCATCTACCAACATGGCTCAGACTAGAAGTTAGTGACTTCAAGCACTGGTGCTACGCCTTGGTTTGGCCGCCCCTAACTCTTTTCCAACCATCCCCTACACAAGTCAGCATAGCACGTCGTGGTAATCGGTGTTCAGGCATACGTAACACGTGGCCTAACCATCTCAGTCGATGAAGATTCATCACCTCATCAACTGATTTACCATCATTCCCTAATACCCTGCGTCTAACCTCACTATTACTTACCCGGTGATCCTAGCAGATGCGAGCAATATTTCTAAGGTATGTGTGGTCAAATACTAGTAACCTACGAGTATTTTCTACTCTTAATGGCCACGTTTCGCAGCCGTAAAACGGAACAGAGCGAACTGCTGCGCAGTATACTCGTCCCTTACTTGACAGACGGATATCTCGTCTTCGCCATAGGTGACGAAAGCCAAAGGAGCTTTTTGAATCCGTGCAGAGATTTCGTCAGACACAAACCCATTAGGGCTGCTCAGACTTTCAAGATAAGTGAAGTTGTCGACGCGTCCGACTACTTCACTCCGTATCCTTAATTCGGGTGTTGACGCGGATCAGTCCTGAAGTAACAATTTAGATTTAGATGGGGAGAAACACATTCCGAATATCCTGGCATTATAACTCAGTTCTAACAGAAGACTCTGCATTTTGCCAGCGTCTTCATCAAACAGGAGTATATCATCTGCGTATTCTAAGTCGATAAGTGGGCCTCCTGATAGGAGGCCAGTGCCCAAAAATCTAGATGAGGACGTTGTTTCCAGCAGTAGGTCTATGATAAAATTAAACAGGAATGAAGATAGTGTACAGTCTTGCCGGAAACCACTTGAGGTTGTAAAGTCAGATGACAGTTCGCCATAAGTTCTCACTCAATTGATAATGTTCGAATAAAGAGTTTTCACAAGGTTTATGTACTTCTGACGTACACCTTTCAATGACAGACACTGCCACAGAGCCTCTCGGTCTACAGAGTCAAATGCTGCTTTTTAGTCAAGAAAAACTATCATTGTCGGACGCCGATAAGCATACCTGTGTTCTATAACCTGACGAATAGTGAATATGTGGTCGATACAGCCACGACCAGGTCTGAAGCCAGCTTGATTTTCTCATCTTTGGAGTTCATGAGCCGTAGTTAGGTGCCCAATAATTATTGAGGCTACTATTTTAGATTCTATATTAGTAAAATTAATCCCTCTATGGTTATCACTGGATGATTTTGACTCCGTCTTATATATTGGGACGATGAGTGATTGTGAGCAGTGTGTTGGGATTACATTCAGTTCCCAAATTTTAGCTAAAATATTAGTCAACCTAATCGCTAAAATTGGACCACCATTTTTAAAGACCTCTGGAGAAAATCCATATGGACCAGCTGCTCTTCCTCGTTTCAGATTAGCTATAGCCTTTTGAGCTTCAGCTAGATTCGGGGGACCTACTTCAATGCTCCATTCAGACTGTTTGGGAATGGTGGGTAACTGTAAAGTAGCTGAAGGCCAGCTAAACTGTTCTCTAACGTGTTCCGCCTATCGTTCTAAACGTCTGGGCTGAGAGCAGATAAGAGTTTCATCTTTTTCAGAGATTTTTTCGCTTACACTTGACCTCTTAAATCCGGTTTCTTTTATTTGTCGGAAGAGTTACCCGGTGTTGGCTACAACCAACTAGTGTTTCTAGTTGATTTGATATTAAGCATTGTTCTTTTAAGTATGTGTGCAAGATTTTATCTGTTAATTCCTTCTGATGTCGTTATTCAGCTTCGTTATTTAAACCGTGTTCATGTTTTAGTCATGGTCAAATGTAATAGTGTGCTCTTCATGGTATTAGTTTATTGAGAATTAGCCTTTATATCCTTGGTACTATAGCTAGTTGGATTTTATGTATTTCAAGCCAGTGGAGCAATAAATAAATGAAGCGACATATATCATACGATAAGTAATAGTTTGCTTATTTGTTGTCTTTCAATTTAGATCTTGGATTATTTTTCCTTTTATCTTCAATGAAGGAAGCACTCTCTTTTATGGACGCTCACTGCTGATCGATATTTGTTAATGCATCACAGATAAATGGTTAATAAGTTTATGGTTTATTTTTTGTTTGGTTATTTGCCATCTTTTGTCCAGACTAATGATCATTATGGGCAAGAAACACAGATGAGGACAGTAGCAACGAGATTTATGTATAGTAGACTCGCTTAGGCCTATCAGTTACTATCATTATAAATGACTTGTTGTAGAGAAGAGGAATGGGTACGTAATTATAACAGTGTTGTCTCTAAACCACTCGAGTTAGGTCTCCAAATGCTCTGATATGGCCGAAATACTCTCACATCGCCACGCGTATACAGCCACTGCCAGGGAAGTCCTACTCACTCCCTTCTTGAGGCGGGGGTGTTTACGAAATTGAGAGGCCGGAAAGCGAATGTCCGGTGCTTTAACCGGGTTAGTGGATACGGAGGATCCACCTAGGGGAGTTGGAAAACCCTGATTCTAAACCAATGGTGCACATGGGCTCCAGTATCCTGAGGGAACAAATGGAGTATAAACTTATTGTAGGTCACCTGTTACCACGGGACTGCATCTCCTGACGTTGCTCCACTGCTTTGTGGATTGACCTTCAGGTCAAAGGCTTCGGGTGTGGCTTCCTAGGAAAACCACCTGCTTCGGTTTATACACCCGGGGAGTATCATAGCCTTCAAACAAATCAGTGATGACTGCTAACGGCCTCATTGTTATTGTGTGGGGCATACGTATTTGGTTCCCGCTTGTACCAATGTTTGTGTTCAAATAAATAAAATGTTTAGAAAGCTCAATGACTTTTGAGTTTTATTTGTACTGATAGTTTCTCGAAAACTCGTTTCAGCGAACTGTAACCACAGGGATCGGGAGGAGCATTAAACGAGTAAAACAAAACAGATGGTCCAGGCAGTGGCAATTTGTACCACCCACCAATTTTTTAGACTGGTTAAAGGAAATAGTTGGAAGTCATCCTCATTGTAAAAAGACGGTCCAGTAATGCATTTATGTGCCAAATCATTGATATAATGGTTCGAACTGTTTGAGGAACAGAATGACTGATCTGTGGTTACTTCCAGATTGTCTTTTTAATTTGGACAGTCTAAACAATTATTTAATATCAAGCCTCCAACTTCTAGCATGGTTCTGAAACATGACTTTAAGCAAGAGTGGGAGACCCTAACGGGTTGATCTTTGAGATTAATGTTGGGTAGGGTACGTAAGATAGACACAATTCCATCAGTTGTCTGGCAAACAGTTGGTTCTGTATGTTAAATCAACAGATATGTACTAATGACGCAAAAATAGGTCTAATCAGTACAGTTTCAGCGATATTAATTTGTTCAATCATCCGATGCTTGACCGGGACTTGCTAAGAACATAGCTGAGAAGAATTGGGTCCCAGATCTGGTCGTTTATGTATTATTTTTTTGCTTGCTCTTCAACACGCCTTGAAATATTGGTACGCCCACCAACTCCCGACTGTAGTCCCAATGTTTAACTCAAAGACTGCATTTTGCTGTGTTAAAAGTGACGTCTTGTGAAAGCGGTCGCCCTTGAATTGCATACCAAGAAAGGATGCTAACTTATTGGGGTATCTTCGCACTTACGGTTGAATACATTGTTGTGTGAATCCAGTATAACAAAGCTGACCATATTCTTCATTTTTATTTAATTTTGTTTTGAATATGCCCTTAGACATTAGGTTCTCGTTATCTGACATCATACCAATTGATCTTGCAGCTTCAAACAATATCACATAAATGCATAGCACTATGGAGAAACCAACTGATCCGTGTTTGTGCCTACTCTGACCCTAGAAAGTGAAGTAGTTGTACATGTTAACTTTAATTTTATTGCTACTTTCATCAGCCCTAATGAGTAGAAGACTGTCGAAAACTTAACACAAAATATTTGGTTGGCTTTTCTAACCTAATTACATTGTTTCTGTCCAGGACAAAGTTCGAGTATACTGCACAGCACTCTGCTATTTCATGTTTTACGGTTGTGAAACATGAGCTAAAAAACTAGGTCTCAACCAGTTAATCATAGATTTCACCGGAGCATATCTTACGATTTGTACAACCAACAAAACCCATTTACCAAATACATATTTATGCACTCTGCTTTGAGTTTTACTTTTGATTTGAGAGCTTGTGATATGATAACCAAGAGTCAGGCGTAGCAGTCAGGTCCTGTTTGATTGGTGAATATTCAATCAAGCTGACTTACTTTAGTCTCCCGTCCCACCTGGTGGTTATTTGGTGTGAATATAAGCACGTTACTTTATTAAATTAAAACATCTTTCTAATATTTGTTCATCATTTGGCGGGTACATCAACAATTTTGCCTCGTGAGCAACCATCCTTTGATCACATCACATTACTGCATATTATAAATCGATCGTTTTGTATTACATCTATTAATTTAAAAAGCCTTCCTTCACTAATCATAAAAGCTAATTCATAATTATTTTTAATACATCCAGCTGTGGAAATCATAGTAGGTGATGTTGTTTTCAAATGGACGACCTATCGATCAAAAACCAAACGCATGAATTACTAACAGCCCACAAAACAAATAATGCTGAGATTGTACTTAAGGTTCGAAATAAAAACGGAAGACTGACCTGGTTATAGTTCTAAACCCGTGTGTGGCTACCTCGACAAGCCATGTTGGTTGGCATAGAATTCGGTTGGAAGAAAGCAAAAGACACCCAAATCAGGATAAACTATCAGTCCACAAAATCACTACCCCCATCCTGTGAAAATATGCAGACTTCATAGTTGTATTTCGCTAAATAGTTGTGTTTTGAGGTAGGCCTCGTGACTAGAAAAAGTTGCGATTGCATCAATCCCGTTTTTTCCTAAATATTATCTTCTTCACTTCTCTAATTCCGTTCACGCTTCTCAAATTGTATTTCTTTAATTTCTTAATCTTGCTTTTTTACTTTTCTTCGTGTTAGTTTTCTCTTGTTGTACTGTTGTTGATTGTGGGGACTTCGGGCGATGCACAGTTTTCTAGGTCCTCCATTGTCGACTGACAAATGAAACGACGGGAGCAAAGATTTTAACCGTAGAAAATTTTCTTCAAAAATGTTTTATTGTTTTGAATACTTGGTCACCCGAAATTTCTTGACAAACCTTCCAAATGTACCAGTTTGCCTAATGGGTCAATTAAATTAAAAGAATGCGAACTCGTCTTTAGAAGTTCTAGAGTTTCCTGTGAATAATCAATTAATTTGGATTGTATGTATATATGAAATGTGTCACTTTTCCTAACTTATTTAGCTGTTTGTCAATGTAGTCAAGTATCGACTTGATCAAATGCAACGTCGACTAGAAGCTGAACAAAGACAGTCAACAAGTCGAGCTAGTTTCAAATGTTCTTCTTGTAATACAGCGTATACAGACTTGGAAGTGGATCGTTTAATGGATTTTACTAATCCGGGAAAACTTGTATGTGTATATTGTCGTGGCGAAGTTTGTGAAGAAGAAGATAACGCTTCACGAACAGATGCCCGTGCTTTAATCGCAAAGTTTCACCATCAGGTATGGTCCATTTTTAGTTTAAATTTTTGTGTTCACAGAAGACATATTTGAGACAATTGTTCCCTTTGATAGATTTGGTGTAATGAAAGGACTGTTCATTGCAATACATTTTAAGCAACAGTTGGGTCACGCAGTTTATTGTTCAGATATTTGTATGAAGATTAAGGTCACACTACACAAATAACAAAAACTGTTGAGGCACCGTACATTTCTTTCTTTCTGAATACTTTTCCTTCACATTACATCATTAGTGATTTTCACTTACGAAAAAACGCAAGACACCTGATTTCTCAACTATTTTGAAAGCCGTAATGAATTTTGATAATGGAACTGTTCTAGTGAGATGTAACTGATAACGTCCAACTTCATCGAAAGGTAGCCAATTACCTGTGACGTTAAATGGTCATCGCCTTACATCTCGAATTGAAATTAGAGATTCAAAAAACTGAACTCCTAATCAAAGTTATAAAGATCACTCTCTCTGTGACACCTGAATATCGTATGTAGGGTCCCTGACCGCATAGTCGGAACACAGTGCCGAAGATTAAGATAAAACAGTTGTCCATCGCACCGTGGATTTCTCTTGTTTCTAAGCTAATATCAGCCCGTTTCGAACATCACTGTTAAGTAAAACATATAGTCTGTTAGATAATAGTTGATTTCTCTTAAATTTGCTTCAGAACAGTATGAGTTCTGTAGAGAATATTTCAAGTTGCGGTACAGTTCTATTCAAGCAGTTGTTTGTGTATCCAGTAAATATATGTTCTAAACGTAACGGAGGCTGTAATGAGAAGACGAATAGGATATAAAGTGTAAGAATAGAAATAGTTCAGATCGGTGTGTATCTGTTTGTCGGAAATTAATAATGCAGAGTAGAATAGATGTTACTAGTAATTATAATCAAAACTGAAGAGGTTATGTAATGGTAACGCTATTAATAATTGATTGGGCAATCGCTCAACATGTTAAGAAATGAAGTCAAATCAATATGTGAACACCAACAGAATTACGTAAGACAAATCAGAAGACGAAAAAGTGGAGAGGGATGAAAAACTAGTAAAGATGTTTTGATAAACACTCAGTTACCATGGCAGAGGCAGCTTAATCACATTTTCCCCCTGTATATATATGTCAAGTCGGTAACGTTTGTTACTAATTGTCTTTGCAAAACGATGTAAAATTGATGTTGGTTGTCTTTTAGTTATTTTGAATGCATACCTATATTCACTGCATACCCACTATACAAAATGTCCCTGGCAATTGCACTTGTGGTGACTTTATTCCTCTTCAGCCCTAAGTTCCCAGGAATGCGTTCATAAAACCTAGTAGAAACCCTTCCTATTTACTTGCTACCATAGGCACATTTTATTCTCGCCGTGTTTAAGTACATCTTTTTCACGTGATTTTTTACGAAATAATTTCCTATATCAATCTAGTTACCTTAGTCATTAATTTATAGATTGATATTTTATTTAGGTTCGAGATCCGATCGATCTAATGCTTCGTGAATGTGATGAAATACACTTGTCACCTGCAATACTCGAACCAGAAATCCGTCCTCTTGAACCTCTAAACGATGTAAGTTCATTATTTTACTCAGCCTGTCCACTCTATTTAGGGAGGTCTTAGTTGCATGTAGTTTGACTGTACACTTAACCTGAACGAATATCTGTCGTGAAACGAAAATATATTTTCATATATATAGACAGATTAAACTCTTCTCCTAGTAGGTGAGTTGACATCTGAATGTATTAAATTAAGAGCAGTCAGTAAGACACTAGGCAACATCCCAATCTTCCTTTCTGAATTACATCAGCTCTACCGGATTTGCTGAAGTCAGAAAATGTTAATGGAGTTCAAATAACTAACTGAAAGGTACAGAGCTTTCTACTCCCTTAATGTCGAGAATTTCCTCTTATTGAGTTGAGAACTATGATGGGAGAGCCATATATATATATATATATATATATATATATATAACACTGATACGGGTGACGTACTCAAAACTTTGCGAACCCTCACCATTTACAGCACCAGGTAGTGTATCCTAATGTATATGAAGACATGCTGTACTGGGGTACACAGCTTCAGTCATACGCAACGTAAAACTTGACAAATGTGTACATCGGCTCAATTCGTCATACCGCATTAGCACATCGAGATGAAATTATCAATCCTAATTTCGGTCAACAGTTTGTTACTATTACGCTCCGTATGGTAGCTTTTCTTAGTGGAAAGGTTTGAAACTTATAGGTCGATTCAAATCATTTATCTCGTGATTCATTGATATTAATTCAGTTTGCCCGTCTCGTGATTATTCATCTCTAGGATCATTATAGGTACCGGATAATACGATAGATTAATTAGAAGAGAAAATCACACGTTTCAATTTCATATCAAAGTCACTGGCTGATTGTGTGAACAGTGACAAGAGTAATCCGGATACTAACACTTGTTTGTTATAGATTGTATGTGATCGAAGTCATGTAAACTCACTCACCTGTAATTTTTAAGTGTTGAACATTTAAAAATCATATTCCGTTTTCTGTGCACCATATGGCCGTTGTTGCCCATGCTTCATTAATTGTATCATTTGTGTTTTGACTCGATAAACTAGGGGATGTGTAGTTACAGAGAGGTGAAATCACTCCAGGATTGGTTGTTACTTTTTCTATTTTCTCAGTGGATAGACAAAACGGACAAATTTGTAAGCAGTATTAGAACTAATGTTATCGTCAACAGGTGGTAATTGCCCTAATCACTATGTGTAGTCAAATGTCACAGTTAGGATTTGGTGTAGACAACTTTTTCTTAATAAATGTGGCTTGAAAGCTATGTTATCTATTTCATTCGTACACGAGACAAGCTCTGGGATTGGACAATTGTGTTGTAAAGATCTCAAGTAAGAATTCCCTTCTCGGTCCTTGTTTTCTGTAGTCCTCATCACTATTTCAGTGTTCTGATTGATTTCAGTCTTAAGATAACCCTTGAGACCGTTGCGTTGTTTGATTTCCAGGACCATGTCCAGGGTGCTGTGATGCGTTAGTAAATAATAATCTGACGCGACTACACATAGTGTTCGTTAATAAAAACTGGAGTAGCATTAGTTTCAACGTAATAAACTTACTTATTCATTACTTAATTGGCGCTTATTGTTTTCACCTTCTGTGTTTTTCGAAATATATATATTTTTAAGCCTCCGAATCTTGTTCACACCTATGGAGTATTTTTAAGTTGAATCAAACTGTTCAGTAAAGCATCTCTCATTGATTGTATTTTTTCATAAATAAGATATAGCAAGTCTAAATAGTCATAAACGTTTTCAGTGTGATTTTATTGTACATATCTTTGTTAGTCTTTTTACTAAAAGTTGGCATCATGATTTCTGGCTTTCATGACCGTCCACTAGTAGTTGTGCATCAACATTCCCTTAAGACAGTCTACTTTGGTGATTGTGTACTCATTTATTTGGTAATGCATTCTACTATTTTTTTTGTTTGAATAACTGTCTTATGAGTAGGTTTCAGCATAATTATTTGTTTTGCCTCGTAATTCACAACATTTTTTGAAACATAATTAACTATCTGTTATATCCAAATCTTAGTTGTCCCATACAAAGATCAGTACTATTTAGATCTCAATGGAAATATCATGTAGATCTGGAGAACACAATTGCTTTACATTTATTGTATCCACACCCTTTTGTATTTACCCTAATATCTTAAAATTTGATCCCTTTGGAATATTGTTGACCATTGAAATCGTATCTCTGACCAAAATCTTGTTTCGTACTTTAATGACAGCCATGTGTGATTTGTCCGATCTAGATGGTCGGTCTGTTTTTCGTACTATATCTTTTGATGAGAATGTTTCGTGACTTTTATTCGGTAGCTTTAATCCTTAACACAATAAATCAACATAAGATATTTATTTTCTGAACTACAAGTTCAGACAACATTGTTCCCATCAGGATCCTAAAATTCATGTGGTACGCTTGGGCTATGTAACGATTTATATTTCGCTAGTTGGATAGTTGTTTGACTTCAACTGCTCAGAACACAATTTTTTAACGCTAGATTATACATTCATGTCTGATGATTATCAAGTCTTAGCAAGTAAAGTCACTTTTAATCGGATGTTTATGTATAATTTTATAATTGGAGCTATCACGTTTACTTTATTTATTAATGGTAACTTTAAAGAATAACAGTGTTACTGTGTAAATACTTTTTTCATTTATCAGGATACCTCTGATGAATCCCAAACCTCCTCTCAAAACGTCGGTAGGAACTCTATTCTATCAGGTGATAAAAATAAAAAAAACTCGTCTTTATTCGGTCCAACTGAAAGCAGTGTTCGAATCGTGCTGAGTGGAAACTCAAGTGGATCAAACCAAGTGGTCAAAGAAAGACCTATATGGATGTCTGACAGCACTATAAGTCTCAACCCTGCTCCTGGCAAGTGTTCCTCATTATTAAACTGTGTTATTCGCCTCAATACCGCTTCTTGGTGGTTAATACCGTAGCCAAAACACATTTTATATTTATTTATCGTAGAAACTCAATATAGTTTTTAGTTGAATATTGAGTGATATCTGGTTGAATTCGCCTCATTTTGTCGCAACTACAACTTACACTTTATTAGTCATTTTATTCATTACACTTATGACGAATTAATTTTGCTTCTCATACTGTTTAGGAATTGGAGATACGGATTCACAAGTGAATATATTTTCAAATGCATCCGAGTTTCATGCAAACCATACTCCTGAGGACGCTATCACTCAGACTCTTGCCCCTGGGAGAGTGCCCTCTGGATTTGGTAGTAACTTATCCAATTCTGTTATAGGTAGTGTTTCTCACAACAGGCTAGCGGATACTACTACCTCGGAAACTAATCTAATGACAAATACGACTAGTGGAACCCATACCGCTTCGTCTAGTGATATTATGCAATTACTACTTGTTCATGAGAGACGTAGTCTGCTCACCCGGAATTCCGCTAAAAATGCTAGTGTTCCAGGTCAGTTCAATATCTTAAGTACCGTAAATGCACTATTCCTAACTTCGGTATTTACTAATATTACTGTTTTTCCCCATAGGTCGCAATAATGCACATAAAACTACTCTTGCCCAACCAGATCCCCTGGTTAACACGGGTAAGTTTTGGTTAGTTTAGTCTAGGGATTTGCTTCTAATAAAAACTGAATGACGAAACAAATCATTAAGTGATGTTAAAAAAATGAAGATAATTCAGCGAAGAAAATTTTTTTGATATCATTTACTGAAGCTGTACAAACGTATCTAAAGTTAACTAAAATACATAAGTCTATAATAAAATAGAATATTGCATCATATAAAAAGCGGTCGAATATGATTAAAGTATCGAGAAATCTTGTAGTATACCAAAGTGAAAATAGATTACAGATGAAAGATAATTGTCAACTGAAATAATATTTAGCAACTGTGAGTACATACCAGTATTGTGTCATAAATTGTCTGGAAATATAAACTATGGAAATCGAGTATGTTGTGATAAAATGGTTAATGACAAACTGTTAGGATGACGTTATTTTAAAAAACTAATTTTTCAGAATAGTTAAATGCAATAATAGCTAATTAATAATCCAAAGAAAGAACTGAAGGGGAAACAATCGATTATTGACTAATGCGCACATATGCATCGATTCGAGTTGCTATACCTCATTAGCACAAGATGAACACCAAATTCATAGAAGCAGTTAATTTAGTGGTGGTAGTACATAAAAGATAGGTTGTATATTATGATATAGTATAGGAAGGAAGAACGTTATGAAGCAAGTTTAATCTCAAGGTTTAGGGGAAGATAAAGAGTGTATACACCTGCGCCATTGTGATCGGTTCTGAGCCATGTCTTCCAGAGTCTGCAACCATTAGTTACGATAATCGCGCGGACCCCAACCAAGTAGTCTGCATCTACCAACATGGCTCAGACTAGAAGTTAGTGACTTCAAGCACTGGTGCTACGCCTTGGTTTGGCCGCCCCTAACTCTTTTCCAACCATCCCCTACACAAGTCAGCATAGCACGTCGTGGTAATCGGTGTTCAGGCATACGTAACACGTGGCCTAACCATCTCAGTCGATGAAGATTCATCACCTCATCAACTGATTTACCATCATTCCCTAATACCCTGCGTCTAACCTCACTATTACTTACCCGGTGATCCTAGCAGATGCGAGCAATATTTCTAAGGCATGTGTGGTCAAATACTAGTAACCTACGAGTATTTTCTACTCTTAATGGCCACGTTTCGCAGCCGTAAAACGGAACAGAGCGAACTGCTGCGCAGTATACTCGTCCCTTACTTGACAGACGGATATCTCGTCTTCGCCATAGGTGACGAAAGCCAAAGGAGCTTTTTGAATCCGTGCAGAGATTTCGTCAGACACAAACCCATTAGGGCTGCTCAGACTTTCAAGATAAGTGAAGTTGTCGACGCGTCCGACTACTTCACTCCGTATCCTTAATTCGGGTGTTGACGCGGATCAGTCCTGAAGTAACAATTTAGATTTAGATGGGGAGAAACACATTCCGAATATCCTGGCATTATAACTCAGTTCTAACAGAAGACTCTGCATTTTGCCAGCGTCTTCATCAAACAGGAGTATATCATCTGCGTATTCTAAGTCGCTTAGTGGAGCTACTGGGTTTTCGGTCCTTGGGTTCGCTGCTTTTAGTCTTACCTCTCTTCAACCGACCTGCCTGGCATGATAGGACCCTGAGGAACGATTGTTCCAGCCAGTATAGGTCGATGTGTTCATCACGATAGGCAAGCCCGACCACCATGTCAAGGTAGCAGCAACGGTCGGGAGTATATAAATAATGTCATTGCTGTATTTTATAACCAAACCCACTAGCCGTAATTTGCAGTTAGAAAGGCTCTGAGGCATGTCCCGAACTTGATTAGTGATGCAGATATGCTAAATCCCCTCTTTATATTAAAGTCTGGTAGTTTTCACTTCATTTTTAACCTGTATTCGCTCTTCTCCTACTATAAGTATTATGTCCACATTGTGCTTGTGTATCCTCTCAATTTATTCGTGATGTTGAGTACGCGTTCGTGGATCGATAAGATTTGTCAAACGTCCTACTTTGTGGTTGAACGCTGTGTAGGGCATGAACACTCTGCTACCCAAGTGTCTGTTCATATTAACCTGCTTTTTTCGCATAAACGTACGATTCATTGCCTAATATGAATGGGAATCACAATTTTCTCGTTAACGAGCTCAAATAGTTTAGTAGACAAAAAAGTTAAACCACATGTTCCTAGTATTTTCAATCTGTAGTTCATGTTCAACTAGCCACTATCCAAAACTCAATCCCTCTTTGTATTTTAGAAAATACGTCTGTGGACCTTCACCCAAAGAAATTCGAGGTTACTGTTGGAGGTCAGCTTATGCTTTATACAGATGTAACTCCAGCGATGGTGAGGACAATGACTAAAGAAGAGCGTGAAAACTACGTGCGCGTTGGTAAGCTTATGTTCACCAACTTAATGCTCGAATAAAACGAAAATGAGCTTGTGTAAAATAATAATGTATTATACAGATTTAAAAATACACGATGTTTAACATAGTAGTTGACTCATAAATTGTAAGAGGAAACACTAATTGAATCATAATTCTGTGTAGGTTGTGTATACAAAATGTTTGGTTACTTTACAAATGTATGGGCAATGTCATACAGAAAGATAAACCATAGATTATACCATTGAGTCCGGATCATGATGACGATAACTGCGACTACTCATACTTCGACGTGAATGAATATATCGGTCTTCAACAGTTTGCGATGTTCGACGCGAATGCATTTCCTGATACCTATGTGGCATTATTCCTTGTCGATTACTAGATGATATGGCATGGGCTCTTTCGACAGGATCTTCATCACTCATTATGTCATCTTCTAGCTCAGGAACCAGATGTGTAGACCGGTGACTGCTTGGTATATGACGGCGCCCTAGATGAGAGCGAGAGTGTCCATGACGTGAAATCGTCGGCCCACCAACAATACCATACATTTCATCATCCATTTCGTCAGGATCATCTTCCTCTTCGACATCAATATCATGCATCATTTTATCCTCGTCATCCTCATCGTCCCGTAGGACATCTGCGGCCGCGGCAGCTGCTGCAGCTACTCCGACCGCCCCACTGCCTTTCCCACCTAGACTTCCTGGACCAGTCGATCCACCACTATGTATTAGTCCTTGATCATTATCATCAATTGAAGCAGACGTATGGATGCCACTGGACGATCGTATTTGTGCCTAAAACCAAGTCATACAGTGAATCAGAATAAAAACTGTCAGAAAAAACCTGGTGAATGACTGTCAATTACTGTAAGCATGAAACAACGTACTCTCACCTTACTAGCTGCCTCAATTACGCGTTCCAGTGTACGTCCAAATTCCTCCAGAAGTATTCGTTCTTGTGCTGCTGGAGGTAAGTCACGACGTTCTGCTTCATCAGCTTGCGCTAATAAACAGCTAGCAGTTGCCTCGATTACTTCCCAGGTGAAGAACACATGCGGTAGGCTAAATTAAACATAAAAGGTCTCAAAAAGTTACTGCAATATAACCATGTAAATTGTTTATGACTCAGCGGAACAGCTGTCTTTGTTTCATCGGTCAATTTGTAGGTTACACCTTTGAAGTCACTGTCCGGTTTAATTAATTCCTTTAAAAAACTGGAGAAAATATATAGGTTTGCTATTGATTGCTTGACTCTTTTTTTAAAAATGAGCAAGCAAGATCGTCGCCAGTGCTGATTGCCCAAAAATACATCCAAATGTTATACCACAGCAGAGTCAACACTGTCTTTAAGCAGTTATTTAAACAAGGATAGTTTTAGTCTCCAGAAGGGGATATGTGCCTATGACTACATACCGAACATGTTACCGTTATAAACAAGTTGAACCGTGAAACGGGTACCAAATATGTACACATAACATACGCAAAGTATCAATCGACGTTTGATATATTCTGCACTTATTTCATGATCACTACATTGCATAATGACTCAATTTCAGATACTGAAACGCCAGAGTGCATTGAATTTATCACTAATTTCTAAGGCTTGACTAGTGCTTATTGATTCATAGTCAAATTAGGTTACGAAAATAACGCTATTTCCAATTTCGATCGCAACATCTTGAACAACGCCAAGTTTCCAGACTGGTTTACTAACAATGAATGTAAAATGTCACTCGTCAAAGGTGGGCTTGTTGCGATTCATTTTCTTATCAGTATTAGCGTAAACGTAAGAGCAATTAAGGATTAAAGAAGTGATATTTTCAACTAATGCCAGTCACATATTTGTACTATCTTTCTTACAATGAGATATGCCTCTAATTACTAACTTGTCTTTCAAACTTGTAGCAAAGAACTAGACGTTGCGTTGTTATTTCGACACGCTAGTAATGAAAATAATGGACAACTATTAGCATTACGATTGATAACTGGCCTTTATGAAAGTTACATCTTTAAATGTTCTGTGGGATCCAATTGCTGTCAGTCTCTCGTGTGCAAAATAACACCTGACAATTGAGTACATCGGTTTAAGCTGTCACATCAAATCTGCACAGCGAGATCAAATTGTTAAGACAAATCACAGATTAGTAGAGCCAGTCATCTACAACGTAGTACCAGGAACATACATATGCATCGATTCGAGTTGCTATACCTCATTAGCACAAGATGAACACCAAATTCATAGAAGCAGTTAATTTAGTGGTGGTAGTACATAAAAGATAGGTTGTATATTATGATATAGTATAGGAAGGAAGAACGTTATGAAGCAAGTTTAATCTCAAGGTTTAGGGGAAGATAAAGAGTGTATACACCTGCGCCATTGTGATCGGTTCTGAGCCATGTCATCCAGAGTCTGCAACCATTAGTTACGATAATCGCGCGGACCCCAACCAAGTAGTCTGCATCTACCAACATGGCTCAGACTAGAAGTTAGTGACTTCAAGCACTGGTGCTACGCCTTGGTTTGGCCGCCCCTAACTCTTTTCCAACCATCCCCTACACAAGTCAGCATAGCACGTCGTGGTAATCGGTGTTCAGGCATACGTAACACGTGGCCTAACCATCTCAGTCGATGAAGATTCATCACCTCATCAACTGATTTACCATCATTCCCTAATACCCTGCGTCTAACCTCACTATTACTTACCCGGTGATCCTAGCAGATGCGAGCAATATTTCTAAGGTATGTGTGGTCAAATACTAGTAACCTACGAGTATTTTCTACTCTTAATGGCCACGTTTCGCAGCCGTAAAACGGAACAGAGCGAACTGCTGCGCAGTATACTCGTCCCTTACTTGACAGACGGATATCTCGTCTTCGCCATAGGTGACGAAAGCCAAAGGAGCTTTTTGAATCCGTGCAGAGATTTCGTCAGACACTAACCCATTAGGGCTGCTCAGACTTTCAAGATAAGTGAAGTTGTCGACGCGTCCGACTACTTCACTCCGTATCCTTAATTCGGGTGTTGACGCGGATCAGTCCTGAAGTAACAATTTAGATTTAGATGGGGAGAAACACATTCCGAATATCCTGGCATTATAACTCAGTTCTAACAGAAGACTCTGCATTTTGCCAGCGTCTTCATCAAACAGGAGTATATCATCTGCGTATTCTAAGTCGATAAGTGGGCCTCCTGATAGGAGGCCAGTGCCCAAAAATCTAGATGAGGACGTTGTTTCCAGCAGTAGGTCTATGATAAAATTAAACAGGAATGAAGATAGTGTACAGTCTTGCCGGAAACCACTTGAGGTTGTAAAGTCAGATGACAGTTCGCCATAAGTTCTCACTCAATTGATAATGTTCGAATAAAGAGTTTTCACAAGGTTTATGTACTTCTGACGTACACCTTTCAATGACAGACACTGCCACAGAGCCTCTCGGTCTACAGAGTCAAATGCTGCTTTTTAGTCAAGAAAAACTATCATTGTCGGACGCCGATAAGCATACCTGTGTTCTATAACCTGACGAATAGTGAATATGTGGTCGATACAGCCACGACCAGGTCTGAAGCCAGCTTGATTTTCTCATCTTTGGAGTTCATGAGCCGTAGTTAGGTGCCCAATAATTATTGAGGCTACTATTTTAGATTCTATATTAGTAAAATTAATCCCTCTATGGTTATCACTGGATGATTTTGACTCCGTCTTATATATTGGGACGATGAGTGATTGTGAGCAGTGTGTTGGGATTACATTCAGTTCCCAAATTTTAGCTAAAATATTAGTCAACCTAATCGCTAAAATTGGACCACCATTTTTAAAGACCTCTGGAGAAAATCCATATGGACCAGCTGCTCTTCCTCGTTTCAGATTAGCTATAGCCTTTTGAGCTTCAGCTAGATTCGGGGGACCTACTTCAATGCTCCATTCAGACTGTTTGGGAATGGTGGGTAACTGTAAAGTAGCTGAAGGCCAGCTAAACTGTTCTCTAACGTGTTCCGCCTATCGTTCTAAACGTCTGGGCTGAGAGCAGATAAGAGTTTCGTCTTTTTCAGAGATTGTCTCACATTCGACTTCGTAATTTCGCTTTTTTATAAGTTTGAAGGGCTGCTTGTTAACAGTATCAATATTAGTAGAAATTATATGTAGAAGATAACAGAAATTATGGTGACAGTTTGGGACTCAGGTTTTAAAGGAGGACAAAGAGTGAATCCATTTTCATCATTGAAAACGATTGTAAATAAGTCAGTCAGCCAGCTACAACGTAGGATCAGGCACATATATGCATCGGTCCAAGTTGCCATACCTCGTTAGCACAAGATGAACACCAAATTCATAGAAGCAGTTAATTTAGTGCTGGTAGTAGTATATAAATTATAGGTTGTATATAAGGACATAGTACAGGAAGGAAGAACGTTATGAAGCAAGTTTAATCTCAAAGTTTAAGGGAAGATAAAGAGTGTATACACCTACGCCATTGTGATCGATTTTGAGCCATGTCACCTAGAGTCTGCCATGTTTTGGTTTGGTCGTCTCTAAATCTCTTCCAACCATCCCCTACACAAGTCAGCATAGCACGTCGTGGTAATCGGTGTTCAGGCATACGAAACACGTGGCCTAACCATCTCAGTCGATGAAGATTCATCACCTCATCAACTGATTTACCATCATTCCCTAATACCCTGCGTCTAACCTCACTATTACTTACCCGGTGATCCTAGCAGATGCGAGCAATATTTCTAAGGCATGTGTGGTCAAATACTAGTAACCTACGAGTATTTTCTACTCTTAATGGCCACGTTTCGCAGCCGTAAAACGGAACAGAGCGAACTGCTGCGCAGTATACTCGTCCCTTACTTGACAGACGGATATCTCGTCTTCGCCATAGGTGACGAAAGCCAAAGGAGCTTTTTGAATCCGTGCAGAGATTTCGTCAGACACAAACCCATTAGGGCTGCTCAGACTTTCAAGATAAGTGAAGTTGTCGACGCGTTTGACTACTTCACTCCCTATCTTTAGTTCAGGTGTTGACGCAGGCGATTGTAAATAAAGGTAACCACAACTTCTGGTTACGATAAACACGTGAACGCTAAGTAAGTATCCTACAATTATTTGCATGGCTTAGTCCCATTGTGGATGGCTTCATGGACTGATGCTACATTTTGTTCAATCGGATTCTAGCTTTTTTCCGTCCTACTATCACACCAGATATTCCCGGTCGAGGTAAGAGATAGTTAAACATATCTCAACCACCTCAGTTTAAGATTCCCTAGGACATATCTCTTAAGATTACGTACTACTTTGAGTGGATATGCATGAATTAATTACTCATACAATCTAAAATCAACAAAACGGTTTCTTGGATGGTGTCTTAATTTAGTTTAGTACATTTAGCCCTGAACATAAACCAAACTGATATTAATAGTAATGGGAGAAATAGTATGGGAATGTGACAGCAAAAACTAATCTTAAGGTTTGAGTAACCAGCGAATATAACTACGTGAATGTAGAGGGTACGATATCTTGCTAACTGCATGGCCATACTATTATAATATCACTATGGTATTCTTACGAGATTGTGCTATATATGTTAGAAAAAAAAACAAAATGAAATGAACTTTATGTGATTATTTGTGATATTACCAACCCCTATATTCTTTTTCTTCTGAGGGATTCTGACGCAGCCTTTTCTAAATCGGAAGGTCCAGTCGATTATACTGTACACTATGGGTCCTGATATTTTACGACGGCACTTAGGACTATAAGGAGATATTGCATCACCACGATAAAGTGCTTGCAATACTTCTCATTTTTTGTTTCGACTCTTAGAGTAAAATTATATTTTTTTATTATAATAAAAACTGGTGACATTGATCACGAGCAGTTTAGATGTATATGGAATACAGATTTATGAAATACTCATGTTTGAATCCCAGCTAAATAATACTGATTTCATCAGAAGCTATTCATGAACTTAATTATATTAAGCGAGTTTGGTTAAGTCACTATTTAACTGTTAATTTCAAAATATTATGTAGCGATGAGACTTACGTTTCGGAGGGAGGTTTCACCAAATGCTTTTTGAAAGACGATGGTTGCCTTGATCTCAAAGCTCCCATTGCAGCCAAGCGCATGAGCGAGCGCCTTTCTACGCTATCCTCTGTATTACGGCAGCCTTGACAACGACATAGATCAGAGCAGCTTATCTTTGCTTCATAACACTCACAATAGTTTTTCAAACATCCTGAACGCTTGCAATTACAACCCTTAGTATGCTTCCTTTCACCTTCTCCACGACCAATTTTTGGATGAAATGCTGTAGGATTACGTTCTAAAGTCATCTTAATAGCTCTTCCGCGCTCCTCTTCATAGGCTAGATTATTCATACAGTTATTGCAGTTACAATTTTGACAAAGCTGTCCCTGTGCGAAGCATTCGCAATAAAGTTTTAGACAATGTGACTTTGTGCAATTACAAGGTTTGCGTGAATTTGCTAAGCTTGAGAGAACTCCACCTGTGGCGCTTAGGCTACTCACTTGTCCAGGACCCCCTGTGGGACCACCCGGAATGGAGGAAATTAAGCTAGGGTTTAAATTCATAATCGGGTTTACAAATGGAGTAAACGTTTGGTTCATTGGCGTAGCGACAAATGTACCTGCTGCACCCAAAACTAAAAAGCCAAGTAATAACGATGAAGCATTTGAATCAAGATTATTAAATTGCAAACATAATTTACTGATCACACCATGGTTCCAGTAGAACAGATGAATTATCTCGTTTAGACGAAAACCATGGATGATGTGTCTTCAATTCTCCAATTACATTTCAATGAGCTGACAGTAGTCAAATACTTCAATCTATTGTTCTAACTATTAGAGAGTACCAATAATATCACTGACAATTATTATTATCTTTAATGCTTACTAATGTATGTTTACGACGACTGTGATCATTAGCGACATAGCGATATTAACTTTAATTTGATCAAGACCCTTGCACGCTTACTTTTTCAAGACCAGTGTGCTCCCAGAATATTCAAATGGGAACAATTCAATAAAAATTGATGACTTAAATAGCCCGTTGGAAAACAAATGGGTTTGCTGACGAATTCAGAGCTGAATGAATATCCATAACATAGAATTAGGCATAAACATTTAGTTCAACTGTTAAAATTCCCTCAGCTTGTGAATCAAAAAATCTAGTATCCAGACAATTGCATAATTAATATGACGTTAGTGACACATTGCAAACGAAGTTGGTTATCTCGCGAAACGGCAAATGAATCCAAAACGTAGGAATATTTACGTTTTACTTATCTTTATCTTGCCCGAGATTAGGGTGGGTTAACCCTTAATAGAAACATGCTACAGAATCACTATATTTGTAACAACACTGTATTTCGATCACTGTAAAGGACACATGGTAGGCTTTAAACCGAGACTCTAGACACGGAATATACCTAGACTCTCGAAACAAGGTGGGATGTCCCTAAAAAGTCAGTCGATTTCAAAATCTTTCCAATAATTAAAATTCAAATAAGAATCCACTTGACTAGCCACTCACTTAAGTGGCATCACAGAAGAAACAAAAAATATCAGGAATGAAGTTATGAATAAACTCTGGAAAAACTGCTGCTAGTAGGAGAATGACGCTTCCACTGTAGCACCATAGGTATGAGGAACAACGTGTATGAATACGAACACTAGCTTGTCTTACCACTTGTATATACTTAATTTTACAACTGTTTGTCTCAATAATAAAATCTGAATCTTTTGGTCATGAATAATAACAATTTCGGCAGCCTATTGCTGAAAATCGAATAACATACAGTGATTTTAACATAGAACATAAGGGTAAACATACCAGATATTTCTGCAGGCTTTCTTACATATTGCACGGCCGTGTTAGTATTGATTGCCATGCCAGGAACGGTTGGGACAAACGGACGAATAGTAGTCAAGGGTTTCAGGTTTTGCGACCTTTGTTGGATGACCGCTTGAGCGTCTGAACATGGCTGAGCCTGTAGCACTTGCACAAGTCCTGATCCCCCAAGAAAATTCTGCTTTGCCGGAAGTGTTAGCCTTACACTGACAGGAGGCTGGGTCATGGAACTGAAGTGCAGCAGTAAAAAGGAGGGTGAAGTGATTGGTGAGTACACATAGATGCCCTGATAGCATCGGAGATCAAGACAACAGAATACATGAGATTACTATGAAAATATGAATCTAACGTCCACTTAGGAGTAACTTGAATTGCCGCGTGAACTCACAATTTGAATGTGGGTGCAGATCCGTACAATTCAAAATCAGAAAGTGAGAGTAGTGTGATCAGTTAAACAAATATATACCCCATGATATACAAAATCTTATTCATCTGAAAATAAAACAAAAAGTACAATTTAAATAAATTCAATCACAATTCAATGATTTTCATGCCTAACGATCTTATTATTTTCTTCGTTATTGCAAGAACCTTATGTACGTCTAAACAGTGAAAATCGGAGCGGATCATGAAAGCATCGGTTAAAAGTCCTAAACATGTCAGATATTTGAATGATATTTGCATGCTTAAACTACAAGTAATCTAATGTTCACTTTCACACAGAATCGCAAACAAACGATTTGAAAATTCCATTAATCTGGATCAAAGAGCGCATATAAATATGCATGTCCAATAATTCCCCTTTTTTAGAATAACTCAAGAGATTTTCGTGACTTGGTCTTAACCGGTAACAAATCTAATATATTGAATCCACACTGTCGTCGGTTGTCGTCATTTCGGATAGCTACCATTCGCCAGATGTACTTTCTCTAAGCTCCTCCTGAGAACTGTAACAATTTTTCCTCGCTTATCTTTATAGTCGACAAAACGCATCAGTGCACTCCGACTTAATCCGTCTTTTTAGATGGAATAATTGTAACTATACAACACGCGAAAGCAAAACACCACGAAACTTAGTTCTAACGACATTGGTTTCTATCCAATTGTGTTCTGTATGACAAAGAGCTCAACAAAACTATGAGCTTGTTTCCAGCTCTGCTTTTCGTTCTTTCATTTAGCTTTTTATCATAGTTATTTTTTATCTTTTTATACAGTAGATGTATACGCACTGCATTCTACACTTATCTAGACATAAAGAACCGTCGTCCAGTAAATCGGATTGGACTTTAGTAACAGAAGAGTATCTACCGAAAAAAACTAGAACCGTATATTAGTGTTAGTGTGTCGTGATACAGAATAACTTCGAATAACCACCGAAAGCCTAATGGCATTTTTAATTTGATAGGTTTCAATCAAAGAACTACTTCACTGATAAGTCCCAGACACAACTGTGGTTTCTATGTACACGACCTCCTAACAAGACAACAATCTTCCCTCTCGCCAACGATGGAGCAACGGATAGTTATCGACAGGGTCCATTGGTCAAGATTTGGACGGCTAGTTGGAAATAATGTCTTGTATAGGTCAAGTTCTTTCTAGGAATTTTCCTCGCATACACTAGATCGACGTTCATTAATCAGCTGAACCATAACTCTCGAAAGATCCCGATTTCAAAAGGTTAGTATAGCTGTAGTCACGAAGCATCAAACATGGTAGTGAAGAAGACAACTCCAAATTGCTTACAAATGAAGCTGGCTTGCCGATGTAATTGGTTCTCATGAGTGTAAGACTACTTCATGTAATTGCTCTCATTCTTTCATCTTGGTTAGTCTTATTCGGGTTTGTTTGGTTTGTTATCGTCTGAATTTTGCAAACATGTCACCATACATTTTTTTATTATCGAAATAACCACAGAACATCTCTAGGAATTCTGCTCTACTGATAAAATTTGGACACAAGCATTGCGACTTGTTGTTATTGCAGTAAATCCTATATCGTCCAATAAGATTGTCTTTGTATCAGCAGGTGGTAATAAAGTTGTTAAACTCGTCAACTAAAATCCATATACTGACTATATTTAACCGATCCACTAAGCTTTGCATGTCCTTAGGGTGAACGCATGCTTGCTCCAGGGTTCTTATCAGGTTGAGTCCCGACCTGACAATGATATCAAGTCTTTGAATCACACTTATAACTCGAAGTTTGCTTTGGTTTTCTAGGAATACAACACATTTTCAGCTAATTCATCCTCATTTGCAAAAAGCGAAGGATTGACGATCGATAAAAATCGTGACAAAAGCTATAATCAAATTTGTCAGTGTCCAAATACTTACATAAGATTCTGGGAATAAATAAATGGTCATTTCCTCTTCCGCTTCATTAGATCAGCCATTAGTTTGTACCTACCGGAATTTCCTGTATTTCATGGCTCGCAAATATTTGATTCTGTGGTCATTTCGTAAATTTCTGAACGATAGTTCAATATGGTGATGATGACCGGGTTGAGTTTTACCCTCACAATTGACACACTTGTAATTAAGCTTCACATACCACCGACAGTGTTTCGCCTATCCTCTCGTCGTTTTCTTCCTCTTTTTTCAATATCATCATGTTTATCACAAACAACTGTGGAACGTCTATGCCCATTCAGACCATAAACCTAAAATAAGCATTGCTCGAAGTTTAAGTTCATACAGAGCAAATTATTTCCAACCCTATAAGGACTATATGCCTAAAACACTGCCTTGTAAATAAATTTAATATGGAGTTTCTCAATGCACTGCCGCTACCTTTTCAGTAAACACAATAGTTTTGTAAGCCCTCTGTAAATCCACACTGTACATTATTGATCATGTCTGAAAAGATGGCATGAATACACTCTGTATGAAATATAAACGTATAACTGTAGATCCCTCAAAGAATCCTTCTTTACAACAAATTATAAAAACTTGACTCCTTACATACCCTCCAAATCGCTAACAGCTACGATCTAAAACAAAGATATAAACTCAAGTCAGGGACTCAGGTTAAGAAAATAAGTAAAACACATAAACATTAAAAGCAATGGATGTATGCAAAATCAGTTAATTTAGCAATATTTATGATAATTTATGGTGATTTAAATTCGTCAGCCTTCTCCTTCTACAGTTCGGTATTCTTAAGAAAATAACAGTGTAAAAAATATTTGTACCGATAATGTACGTTTGTGAACTATAAAAACAACTGTAACGGTGATTATTTAGATATCCATCGACGTAGCCTCTTAGTCGAGTTCAAATATCAACCAAAAATAAATTGAAACGCAGTAAATGAAAACTATTTGAAAAGTATTATGCAATAACGATAAAAGACATGTAAGAATCGATTTAGAATGCAAAAGTGTCAGTGAGTAGCAGTAACAGAAGGAGCAGGACCTGACCATGCTAGTTACGGTAAATATACGAGTAAATGTGGAATGCTCTTGTTGTACTGAAAAAAGCCCGCTGAAAATCCCTCCACAACATTTCATTAGACGGTATTGTCATTTATTTACTCATTCTCTCTCATATCTTGGAAGCTTCTTCGACACTACGGCGTGCCTGAGAAGATAGTCAACATCATACGGAACTCCTATGATGGACTAAACTGCCAAATCGTCCACGGAGGACAACTCACCGACTCGTTCGAGGTAAAGACCGGTGTTAGGCAAGGTTGCTTACTCTCACCCTTTCTCTTTCTCCTGGTCATCGACTGGATCATGCAGACGTCAACATCTGGAGGAATGCACGGGATACAGTGGACAGGCAGGATGCAGCTTGACGATTTAGACTTCGCGGATGATCTGGCTCTTCTATCACAAACGCAACAACAAATGCAGGAGAAAACGACCAGTGTAGCAGCAGCCTCAGCAGCAGTAGGTCTCAATATAAACAAAGGGAAAAGCAAGACTCTCCGATACAATACAATATGCACCAATCCAATTACGCTTGACGGAGAAGCTTTGGATGACGTGGAAATCTTTACATATCTGGGCAGCATCATTGATGAACACGGTGGATCAGATGCAGATGTGAGGGCGAGGATCGGCAAAGCAAGAGCAGCATACCTACAGCTGAAAAACATCTGGAGCTCAAAACAATTGTCAACCAACACCAAGGTTAGAATTTTCAATACAAATGCGAAGACAGTTCTACTGTATTGGGCGGAGATGTGGAGAACTACGAAAGCCAGTATCCAGAAGATACAAGTGTTTATCAACAGTTCGAATCCGATGGCCAGACACTATCAGCAACAAGTTACTGTGGGAGACAACAAACCAGATTCCGTCTAGCGGAGGAAGAAATCAGGAAGAAGCGCTGGAAGTGGATTGGGCACACTTTGAGGAAATCACCCAATTGTGTCACAAGACAAGCCCTCACATGGAATCCTGAAGGTCGAAGGAGAAGAGGAAGACCAAAGAACACATTACGCCGAGAAATAGAGACAGACATGAGAAGAATGAACAAGAACTGGAAAGAACTAGAAAAGAAGGCCCAGGGCAGAGTGGGTTGGAGAAAGCTGGTCGGCGGCCTATGCTCCATTGGGAGTAACAGGCGAAAGTAAGTAAGTAAGTCTCATATCTTAACCTCTAATCAGTCTCACTGAACCCCACTTATAGCTATTACGTCTTCTTCGTCTGAGCTTTTATTATGTGGTTTTGCTGAAGACTTACCTTTCGTTACTTAATTTTACTGTTTCATCTTGACTGACCATTGTCAATATCATCTTGTTTGATAAGCCTCAGTGTCATGGCATGGTTCAGAGTGTGGCTGTTAATAATAATATATCTCTGCGAGGGCAAGTACACTCCATTTTTACAACCATGATCTGCAAGTTAAAACATATCCTGGTTTACTGTATGCATCCCAAGCAGGATAGTTTAGTAAATATAACCTATAAAAAGTAAAAGCGGCTCATTCGTTCAGATATAATGTGTTTTCACAGAATAGTTGCCAAAGGGGCATCGCGTCCACGTTACACACCAGATCCAATCTCGGCAAAAATTGTATTAGGATTTTGGTCATGCTAAGTATTTATGAAATGCAACCTTTGACTCTCTGCTTGGAAAGGTTTCTGGAATCCTTGCAGGTGGATATCCGACCCCATCTTGTTGAGAATATTTTTATTCGTTTTCAGGTATCGAAATCTTGTTTGTTAACTATTCCCTTTGTTGTTTAGTACGTTAGTTTGTGTTGGAAAAAACCCTTGACTGTACAGCACAGGCTGTACCGTTTGAAGTACTTGGTACTTTCGAGATAAGTTTTTTTTCTCAAATCACAACCGTATAGATTAAACACCGAGTTTGTGTTTTGACATACTTTAATACGAGTCACTCGAAAACGCTTTTTAAGTCATACAGAGGAACGCAGTGTGGTCTAATTGAGTAAACTTTGGTTCGTTAGTTCTGAGTTCAGACCAAAAGTTGGCATTTCGGTCTTTACAA